CATTCATAATCCTTCAGTCGGGAAGCAGCATCTGCAATCTCCTGAGCACTTGGGACTGGGAGCCTCAACCATTGGGTGAGTGCACGGACGGAGAACACTTGCGCGTTCACAGAAGCATGTAGGGCGAACCAGAGTGAGAACAGGAGGAATATGATCGACGTGCCTGAATAATCACTGACCTTATAGCCTCGCGGTACAAACAACAGCTTGCCACCAAGAGGTACCACGTTCGAACCCCTCTCCCCACCCGTTACTACCAAGCGATATCGCGTAAGCCCAGAACAGAAAGTTCTGCGTCGGTGATGGTATACGTCCTTTGTAGAACATCTCAATGCACCAGATTAACAGGATAACACTCACGGTCTGAACGGGACCACATGCTCCACAAAAACTATTCATTTCCCTATCTCACCGCGTAGTTGTCCATCTTTCCTATAGTAAGGCCGAATAAGTCATGAAGATCCTCTCGGTAAAGGTCAACTTGCCTAACACGCATCTTCTGCTGCTGGTAGAGATTCTTCTGTCGCAGCTCATTGTTGAATTTCCAGTTCTCTCGATTATACGAGAACAGCTCTCCACCGGCCTCCTTCGCGAACTCAGCCATGTGCCAGGATGAAGAGGATCAAGACAAGAGCAAGGCAACTGATAGAGCTCGAATACATTCCCCTCCCAGGATTCGAACCTGTGCGCGTCTAGGCCAACGCCTGCCACATATTTGGCCGATGAGGTTCCCAGATGAATCAGCCAAACCTTTACACCATCCATGCTGAATGAAACTTCCCACCTAATATTATTTCACTATCTTCTCTCTACCAGAGAAAAATTTATGACCTCCTACGAAAAAACGAGTAGACTCGGGGAAAAGGATTACAACCGCAGCTTCTGCATGACCTACCCGCACGGCCCACGTCCTTCTTCAGCTCTCATGGACGGCGCAAAGCCACAAAACGGCGACGCTTCATCTCATGCGCGCACGCCCACAATTAATGTTATTTCTCGCTCGCCATCTAAATGGAAAACGTACCCAAAAAATTTTCCCGAAACGACCTTAGGCTTCTTGCTAGATTGAATGAGAGAAGTAACCCCATTTCAAGACGAGGTGAAGGCATAATATGTTTTCGAGAGGTTTTAAAGTTGATAAATGACTAAATCTTTGACTTTGAAGATTGTGGTACTCCTTCTGACAGAGGCTCCCATCTGGGTGGGCGCACTAGCCCGATCAGGGAAGAAGCTGTTAAGACCTAGTACACCCACAGAGGTGAGCTGGAAGCGCACATAGTCAGCATTGAGAGCCATAGAGAAATGACGCTACGAGGGTTCGAACCGGGGATCTTGAGTGTTTCTAGCCGCTCTCTCTGGTCACTACACCGACGTAGCCGGTGGCCAACGTCGATTGTCGACAGGAATAAGAACAACTTCCAACTTCTTGCAGGCTCCTGCCGACCCATCTGAAGACTCTTTGACCGGGACCGACCTCTCTACTCCCACCGAAAGAAAACAGGTGAAGCCACTCAACTCTTTCTATGATGCTATGGCCCCTTTTCAGCTGGAATTGGGGTATGAAACAGTCCAGAAAGACGATAAAGAGGTTCAGGCTTTGGCAGACGTTACTCTCCGCACAACTATAGAGAGCACCTCAGCAAGCGAGGAGCCTGATTACCGGGCTATTGACGTCCTTCTCAATCCTGACTTGCTGAAACAGGTGGAAAGGGATGATGCGGCTGGAGCCGTGCCTTTCAACAAGGAGGATGACATGAGACACTACGGTAGAGAGCTCATGAAAAAATCACGTGCTCTGAGACTACAAAAGACCAACTGCGAAGCTACCGACTCCATGAGTTACTGGATTGCTCATCCGCACGACGACTCGGGGAGATCAGTGAGCCACTTTGATAAACTATTCAGATTAACTGCAGCACGATCTGACAGATAAAATGGACAGTGTCGCTGAAACTGGAGATGGATGACCCTGAGGATGGCTTCAGGATTAGGGAAGTGTCCAATTCTTTCGGAAAAAATTACGACCCGTAAGATCTAGCACCGTCATGAAGTGTTCCCCTTTATTTAGCTATCGACCATTCTCTGATGATTCACATTTTCTCTCCCACTGATAGTATAGTCGCTTCTCACAATCTCGAAAAAGCGAGTCTTTCCTCAGGAAGCTAGCATTTCAATTCGAGAGGGAAAGATTAAGAACGTTGGAAGAAAAGTCCATTAGGGTGATACTTCGTAGAGGATCAGAGACTGACTTGACAGATGAGGATCTTGAAGACTTATGCAGACAACAAATTAAAAACTACGCTAACTTCGCAGCTCGGCGGGCCAAAGTTCAGCCTCCTTTCTTGGATTCCTATTCGAAACCGGAAGATCTCAAGGGGATCGTTATGTGGCTCCTAGGACACAACTACAGGACAGCTCCGGTTGACTTGCTGTCCAGGTGGAACCCACATGATGACCTGATGCCTAACCATAAGCTAACGGTCATAGGCAGACCTCCGAAACTCCAAGAACTAGAAGAAGATGTCCAGTAGTCTCGACCTGACGCATCGAGCAGCGACACGTGTTGTCTCAATCAGCTTCATATCGATGGCGTCATGAGCTATCTTTTGTAGGTGTATAAGATGTTTAACGCATGTTTATGTTAGAGTGATGGATGTTGAACAGCACGTGTTGAGCTCTCTAGTCCACTGGGTGTAAGGTAGTCCACTCCTTGCAACCGGCCAGAGGTATCTTGTCACTCGCTAGAGAATGGTGTCATACATCGTGGTTCTATAACGGTGGGATGGATGAGGCTCTCATCTTGCCCCTATCTGAGAAGGGAGCTAAGTCTGTCCATAAGGACAAAGCAACGCCCATACTAGGGGGTACCGCTTTCTCCTGGAAGTGGCAGTCGGTGAGGAATGGTCGTCACCGTGGAAGAACACTGAGACTGAAGTTTTGAAGTTCCTACTTCAACACTTCCCTCCAGGGACTGCCCTAGGCTTATCATCCTTCTCACTTTTTCCTCATAAATGAACATATCAACTGACAGGCTTCACTAG